GGAGGATCCTCATTCTAATGGTGTCCAGCGTATCCATCTTTGCCTTTTGTGTTAATGTTTTCCGTGTTTTAAGAAATCGTGGCCCATCCCAAACTGTAAAAATATCCGGTGATCTTCAAGTGCTGGGGCTGCAGCTTCTGCATTTGCAGCCCGTCGCAGGTAACTTCCCACATGGGCGTGGTGTGCAGGCCGGGGCCACCCCCGCAGACGCCCCCGCACCACATGGCCAAGGTGCTGGGCTTTCTCACGGGAAGGGACTCGGTCAGTTGTCAAAAATTACGTGACAGTGATTTCCGTGGGGGACTATTTTCGGACCGTGGACTGTGCCGCCCATCCGGGCATCTGTCCTTATGCCCTCACCGTCCAGTCTCGCCAGCTGGGACCTCTGGGAAATCCTGGAACAAGTGACTCCTATAATGTACCAGAGAGTTTTTGGCTGTTCTACACCTGTGGTGTTTCCATACAAGTCTAAGTCAGTCCATCAGCTTCTAGGTTGAGAATCTTTCCAGGATTACGTCTGGGTAGCATGGAATCTAAGGATCAGTTCGGGGACAGCGGGCAGTGAGCAGCTCTGGGGCTTGGGACTCACGTACTAGCTGTCTCTTGATGGCTTTCTAATTTCTCTCAGCAACGTCTGGTAGCTGGTCGGGTACAGAGCGTTGGGCGGCTGTTAAAACTTCCTAAGTATTTTATGCTTTTGGATGTTATTAGTGATGTACTTAAAATTTTTCTGTAAAAAACCCCAATGACTCAATGTATTTATTTGATACATTCACAAAGGCTCAACCAGAGACTTGGTTAGAAAAACAAATGAGGGATCCCTGGGTGGCGCAGCGGTTTGGCGCCTGCCTTTGGCCCAGGGCACGATCCTGGAGACCCGGGATCGAATCCCACGTCAGGCTCCCGGTGCATGGAGCCTGCTTCTCCCTCTGCCTGTGTCTCTGCCTCTCTCTCTCTCTATCTGTGTGTGACTATCATAAATAAATAAATAAATAAATAAATAAATAAATAAATAAATAAATAATAGAAAGAAAAACAAATGAAACAAGGGCACCACAGATCAAGACAGAGAGGCTTCGATAGAAATGAAGGAAAAGACAGCCACCGAAAGAGAACATACAAAGGCAACGTAGGGACCCGGTCCAGGTTCTGGGCTGGACACCTGCCCCAAGGAGGCTTCTGGCAGGCTCCTCTGAGGGGCCGTGGGTTTTCCCAGAGCTCGGCAGCAGGCACGTCCAGAGGGCACTCGGTGTTGGTTTCTCCCAGCTCCTGACGTCACCGGGGGCCCCTCACCCCCCGCTCTGTGGGGCGTCCATGCTGGGGCGGTGGCAGGCGCGAGGAGCTTTGCTGTGGGCGAGCTGTAGGGGCCCCTGGGAGCGCAGGGAGGGCTTGTGCCTCGGGACTTCACACACTTCGGCAGCCGTCCCGTGACCATCCCCCGACCCACCTGACGAGGTCTGATTCTGGGGACGCAGAAACTGCTTTGTCGCCTGGCAGCACGAGGTCATTGGCTCGGGTGCAGCCTCTCGCCCACGGGGGCCCCAGGCAGCATCCTGGCTGGCGCTGGCGGCCACTGAGTCGCGGATGCGGGAGGCCGTCCGGGCGGTATGGACGGGGAGACAGAGCTTGGGACAGTGGGACTGTGACCGCCTAATATCTCGCTGTCCAACAGCCTCCGACCTGGCTGACTGCACGCAGTGGCTCCAGGGACCTCGCCATCCTCCACACATGACCTCCTTGTGTCATTCGCAGCGACAGGGATTTGGTTATTTTTTCTTGCTCTTTTGTACAAGCCATGATCTTTAGAACGGTGTCAGCCAGGTGTGACGAGGGGGATGCCTGGGTGCTCCCCACCTTGGGGATGTGCAGTGCCCCACAGGCAAGAACAGCATGGGGGTGGAGCACCTGGGGTGGAGCACCCGGGGTGGGTGCGCGTGGCATCAGGCATCAGGCTGAAGAAACCTCTCGTTCCTCGTGTGTCGGGAGAGGTTCCGCCAGCAGTGCACCAGTGAACAGTGCTTCCCCCCATTAGTCGAGATGACGACCCCCCTTGAGGTCTCCCCCACACCTGGTGCTCGGTCAGTGCGTCCCAGGATATGGGACTGTGCTCTGAAATGTCCTTGTCCTCACTGGCCTGACGGACAGGAGCTGGGAAGGCTCCCCTCTACTTTCTGGATGCGTGTGGGCAGGCTCCACACCGTTCCTTCCGTAAATGTCCATTGAGCTCTTCAGTGAGAACTTCTGGGCCTCGGGTTCTCGCAGTAGGAAAGGTGCTGCGTCCGCGAGAGTTTCCGATGTCCTGTTTCTTCTGTGAGTGTTGGTAATTCACATCTGAGACCCGCACTATCTCCTCTAACTGCCGACCTTATGTGCGTCCAGTGCGTAGGGTGTTCAGGTTTGTATTGTGAAAACGTCTCAGCCCTCGAGAAAGCTGTAGCAGCAGCACGGAGCCCCCTCGGGTCCCTGCCGCGAACCTGCCCCCCAGCCTGCACATCAGCAGCTCCCCTGCCGGGACGGCCCAGGGCACCACCTCTCGGTGGCGTGATCCCCGAGGCTGGCTGGTCCTCAGCCCTGAACCGCCCGCCTCGGCTCTGCTCCTGGAGAACGTTGCTCAGCAACAGGAAGTGTCCTCGGGCTAGGGTTGGCGTGTGTGTGCTTCTCACGATGAGGCCAGCACCCATGGGGGCGCAAGCCTGCAGTCGCAGGAGTGCTGTGTCCTGGGGGCTCCTGCGCCCAGCGCCCTCCCCTTCACACCTTGCCCTCCAATTCCGCAGGCTGCGAGGCAGAGAGCAGCCAGCCAGGCGCCTGCTGTGTCCCCCCGGCCCCGCTGTCGTGCGGTGGGTGTGACGAGCTGCACACGCCCCGGGTCCAGCTCTAGCTCTGCGCTGAGAGCGGGCAGCCCCGGGAGGCCACGCGCACCCACCCCGGGTGCTCCAGGGCCAGAGGCCGGGTACACACAGCTCTGCGACTCCCTGGGCCCGGGCTCAAGGAGCCCCTAGCTTCTGGGTGTGTGCAGCGGCCGCAGGCGACAAAGGCTCAGTGGGCAGCTCTCCCCGCAGGCCTCCGGGGTCCTCTGGGCGCACAAGGCCCGGCGCCGCCGCCCCGCCTCACGGGCCCGCCGGGTCTCCACCTGCCCGCGGAGGAGGATGAGCAACACCCGGCACGCACACAGGATCCAGTAATTACCCTTTTAGCGCATCTGACAATTTTCATCCAGCTGCTGCGAACAGTCAATCAAAACGCCGTGAACGGTGCTCCAGGGCGCTGTCAGGCACCGTGGGCGCTGCTCCCCCCCACGTCACCAGACTGGCACACGGCAGCCCGACGGCTGCGCCCCCCCGCCCCGGCCGTGCTTAGCAGGGCCCGTGCCTTTCCACTCGCACCCCGAACCTGCTGTCCCAGGCTGGTCCCCGGGGGGAGCGGAGACGCTGCACACGTTATGATTTTTAAAAGAAGCTTGAGGAGAAAATCCAAAGTGAAGCGCTAGGTGGACACAGAGCCACAGCCCGATACCGTGTGTCGCGACCACACAGTGACGTCAGCGTGGCCGGGGAAGGGCTGTGAGCCTCAGGACTCCCGCCTCTGCGTGGCAGAGAGCCCGGGACCGTGCCGCGTAGGGGGGTCCGAGCCCTGCGGCCACACACACCTGTCCCCGCTCGGGCACCGTGCCCACCACGCCAGGGCCAAGCGTGTGCTCCTGGGCTCCCTCGCCTGCAGCCCCCGTGTCCCCCGCACCCCCGCCCTGGGCATCCGCGGCCTCCCCGCGTAGGATGAAGCTGCTGCAGCGTCTGGGCAACATGTGAAGTGCAGGCTTGTGACAAAGGAGCTGGAGCGGTCCGCACCCCCGGGACGCCCGTCTCTCATGAACCCTCAGGATTTGGGGGCGACAGGGCAACAACAGGCTAGCCACACAGATACAGGGTGTGGGGGCATCAGGGAAGCCCCAGGGGTCCGTGGGAGCCCACCATGAAACACCAGTTACACGGGGGGGCGTGGGGGGGGGAGGTGGCCTCCCGGAGAGCTGGCTGGGCTGCCTGAGTCCGACAGGGCCACATGGGGCCGCCGGCAGGGACAGGGGCCTCCTGCGGGCTGCGGGCGTCTGGGCTGAGGGGATGGAGCTGCTGGCTCTCGTGACCTGTGCTGGCTCTGCCCGGGGGCTGCAGCAGATGGGAACCTCGGTACCCACGTGACAGGGCGTCCAGGACAACGATGGAAGGACGCAAGAGGAAGTGACGCCATTTGCCAAGTCCTGCGCCTCATTAGTCGGGGGCCAGAAGGAAGCAGGTCACTCTGGATTTGAAGGTTCAGAGAGTTTCTGAAGAACTTGACGAAGCCCAGAGGTGGAGGCAGAGGTGGAAGCACCTGTGCACCTGTGAGGGCCCAGGGACGCCGGGGTCCGGGGCCCAGGGTGGGCGCAAATGGAGAGAACAGCTGGCAGGCAGTGCGTATGCCACAGACCAGCCACATGGGAGAGACGGGGCCGCCTGCAGGCTGGCGTTCAGGAGACCCTGCTGAGGCCGCGGCGTCCCTGGGGTGGGCCCGGGGCCGGGCACCCTTCCGTCAGGAGCCCGCTGTACACCTAACGTGGGAGAGCCAAGGCGGCGAGAGCAGAACCGCACTGACACCTGTCCCACGGCGCACACAGGACCGCGACAGGCCGGGCCGAGCGGACTCCCATAGCATCGGTCGCTGTCACTTAGCCTCCACCGAGGGGCCTAACCGGATCGGTAGGTGGGGGTTTGATCAAAGCCCCGACTGGCACATCTTAGTGGCCAATCCACGGGCCCAGCATTTCAGGCACTCCAGAAACTCCAGGAGGGCAGGGGACAAAGGCGCAGCTGCCCAGGGACTCCTCCTGTGAGTTGTGACCCATCCCACAGAAAGGGCGGGGGGCCGTGGTGTTTCAGGTGCTCGAACACAGGGAACATGGGAACAGCGGAAGGGGCCCCGCCACCTGGGCAGCGTTTCCCCGAAACACAGCAAATAAAAGTTCTACTTACTGCTCCAAGCATGATTCTGAAAATCAGCCACCGGAAGCCCCACAGAACGATCTGGGACGGGGGGGTCCCCCTGGGCAATTGAGACAGAGTCCAGAGAGGGCAGAGGAAGATCCCCAGGAATCCTGTTTCCAGAAGCTGGGACTCCCATCCTGCAGGGACGACAGTGAGAGCACAGGCCGGGTCAGCACCACCACACGTTCCCCAGGGACGCGGCCCCACCCAACGTGGTCTACCTCCGTGGCCCCTAACCCGGGATGCATCCTCCGGCCCCAGGTCATCCCGGCCTCCAGCCAGGGCGTCTGGCAGCAGGCACGGCAGGACGAGCGCGGCACCCCAGCTGGCCCTCCGCGGGAGGGGACCCGGACTCAGCACCCGCAGCCCGCGGGCCTGGGAAGCCTTTCCCACTCACTGCGTCCTTCCCCGAGGGGCTCACCAGGCCCCACGACCTCACGCGAGGGTCTGAACACACAGTGACTCTGCCCCCATCTGCCCAGCGCGGGGGGGGGGGTGGGGGCTAGGCTCCACGGCAGGGCCTGCGGACGTTGGGGCACGCACAGTGGGCCAGGGGCTCCGCGTTCTCATGCTCCCTGCGTTGGGACCTGAAGCAGGTCTCAGCCTTTCGGAGGAAGCTGCACGTCGTTGTGCGAGCTGCACACGTTCCTTTAATCTCCTTCTGCTCAGAAACTATGCAACACGAAAGATGTTTAGACAAGGGCCCACGTGCTATGGTTCCATTCATGGAAGGTTCTAGAATGAGCAAAACTGATAGAGGAGAAAGAAAGGGGAACCTGGCCACCAGGGACGCCAGGGTGACACCTCATCAGGCACCTGAAGGAAGGTCTGTGCGTTTCACTGCTTGGGGTTTACAGATAAACCTAAATGAGTTCTGAACCCAAGATTTTAGGGCCGGACAGACGGCTCTGGAGGTCTGCACTTGCTCTGAGACGCGGCAAAGGTGAGGACAAGGGATGCGGCCAAACCCACGGAGTGGACGCCCTGTGCGGCCTTGGTGTGGATTTAGGGGTTCTTGCCGTGCCCCTATTTGATACTTCCTGTAGTCTGGCATTTTCATCAGGAAAACGGGGGGAGCACGTTTACTCCTGGGCTCTGTGGATTTCTGAAGTCCCGGTTCCAGCCCCTCCCTGGGAGGGGTCAGCTTGCAGTGAGGCATCTCTGCGGGCTCGCCGCAGCCACGCGCACCTGTGCTGGGGACGCCGGGGCCACTGGCGTGCAGCCTGCCTCTGCCCAGAGGAGTCCAGCCACAGAAACCAGCTTGGACAGCACTGGGGAGGGGGGCCCCCAGGGGAGGGGGGCTCCTGGGGGAGGGGGCTCCCAGGGAGGGGATGTGAGGTGGGGAAACAGGACCCAGGGTGCCGCCAGGTCGGTTGAGGGGAGCGCCGTGGGGCAGACTGCTCGGGCAAGGCCGGGCCCGGGACCCCGGTGCCACCCTCTGTGGCGACGCGGTGTGTGGGACACCCACGTGGGCGCAGCCCGGCCCCCTGGACTACCTGCCCGACCCAGAGCTGGGAACCCCGGCTTTGGTCAGAACCCCAAGAAGGAAAAATACAGGAAGCATTAGCCGTGGGTCTGTTTCATGAGGTTCCGGACGCAGACCAGCTGCGGACCTTGGGTGAAGGCTGTCCTCGCGCCCACGCTGACGGCGGCTTTCGCTCCACAGCTGCACACTCTCCTCTGGGCTCAGCCCGGGGAAAACAGGCTTTGTTCTTACAGGACACTTTCTCTACTTTTATCTTGAGGGTAACTGTCCTTTCACTTGGGGTCGGTTTAAAATACACGTGACCTCAGGACGCGGGGTGGCCACGGGATCCAAAGGCAGCACCAAGGGCGGCACGCCCAGGGGTGGCTGCTTGGGCGGTGGGAGGGCGTCCCTGTCCTCGCCGCCTGCCCCGGGCCCTCCCCTGTGGGGAGGAAATGGAGCCCAGCACAAGCCAGCCGCCGGGCGCGGCCAGGGGGGCGGTCGACGGGAAGACTGCAGGCACCCTGAGCCCCCCAGTGCAGGCTGGCCCTGCCCGCGCTTCCTGGAAACCCCTCATGGACTCTGAGACGCTCACGTGGGTGCAGAGCGTTCCCCAGAGCGCAGGCCCGCCTTCTCTAATTGCCACATCACTTTGCACAGATGTGACGAGCAGAATTTTAATAACGCTGTTTGAGTGACACCAATCAAAGTGATGTGCGAATGGCGGAGCCCAGAGACCACCGAAGTGCCAGTGAGCAGGTGATGGGGTGGGCAGGGGACACGCTGCCACCTTGGGGACTTATGTGTACCGGCACACGGTCACCTCCCCCCCGCACGTTGCAGGAGCCACCTCCTCGCCGGCTGCGGCCATAGAGGGGAAAGGGCCACCTGCACAACCTGCTGCCGCGGCATGCCCCGCCTGCATGGCGTCGAGTCTGACGGCCGTGACCCCGGAAGGCAGATGCCTGGCGTGCCGCCCACCTGCTGCCCGCAGCACACGGTGGGCGCGGGGCTCCCAGGACGGGCTCCAGCTGCAAGTCTGACCCCAACGCAGTTGCCACGTCCCACCGGGCCCCACGTCCTGAGTCCCGCCGTGAGGTGCCTGTGCCCGTCAGCCCGTCCTCAGGTCCTATTCCGGAGGGGAGGCAGCAGGCTGGCTCCTTCACGGCCGTGCAGACCCTGCTTACAGCTTCAGGGGCGCCGGTGGCTCCGCCAGTGCAGTGTCCGGCTCTTGGCTTTGGCTCAGGTCGTGATCTCACCGTGTCAGGCTCCACGTTCAGTGCGGCATCTGAGATTCTCACTTGGCTCTTCCCCTCACTCTCTTTCTCTCTCAAATAAATAAAAATCTTTTTTAAAAAAATGTCATTTCCATGGTGGCCCCAGAAGGCTCCACCCCATCCTGCCGGTGACCTTGGGGTGATGGTTAGCGAACGCCCACTAGGAAGCCGCCACGCCCGAGGCCATGCAGCTGCCTGTTTCTGGAACGGTCACTTCTGTGGCTACGGCTGATTTCCAATAATGTGGACAAGTGCTGAACAGGCCGCGTTGGGGACACACTTGGACCGTGACAGCCGGAGTGCCCGTCAGGCAGCGGCGGGGCAGCGCCTGAGCTATGCCTGCCCTTCGAGGAGCGGCCTGGTCACTGCGTGCAGGGTGTCCCCCCCCCCGGGCCACCCGCCCCTGCCCACAGGACCGTGAACCTGACGCCGTGCTGACCAGAGCCCAGCGCCGGCCGCTGCTGCCCACACCCTCCGTGTCCGTGAGCGGCCACAGCCCAGAGCCCCACCATCTGGGGACGGCTCCTGAGGTGGAGGGGGTGCTCTCCGGCCGTGCCCTCCTGAGCCAGCCTTGGAAGCCGCACGGCCATGTCTGCCAGGATGGCCGCGGGCGAGTCTGAGGAAACCCCATAAACATGCTGAGCGTGGACCTTGGTGTCCCAGCCCCACTTGGCCCCTGGCTCAGCTCGGGGCACCTGCTCCCTAAATAAAGCGAACATAGAAGTGGTGTTTACGTTTTTATTCTACTTAGAGACACACGGACAGTGTAGACGCTCGTCTGTTAAACATCCAGAAAATGCACCAAGAGGCCTGAGCTGGGCCTGGGGCACGTGGCCCAAGGTCATGGCGCCTTGAGAGCAGCTTGGGGTGGGGGGCCCTGGCTGCCCCTCTGTGGTCTGTCTTCCCAGGACGGGGCGGCTCAGACGGGAGGCCTACGCCAGGCCTCTGTGGAGGCTCCTGGAATCACGGCCCACATGGCACAAAGGAGGCCGCTTCTGACCCAGGAGAAAAACGTCACCTAAGACAACGCTTCGGAGGTAGAAGCCGCGCAGACGGCCGCTCTGGAGAGACCGTGCCAACCGAGGGCTCATCACCTTCCTGCACATCATTACCGCTACTTAGAATGATGAAGCGTGGCACCTATGGATCCTTCAAGAGTGACAGCCACCATCCACATGAGGAGCAAGAAACCCATTAGCTTCAGGTTAGAAACCGGGAAAAAGGAGAAAGACGCCTCCCCTCTGACGGGCTGTCACTCCTGCGTAGGGCAGCCCCACCCGCGGCTGCCCGGGGCTCCCAGCAGCAACTGGAGAGTGCGCGAAGCTCTTCTAAGTCGCTTTCTTCATCCTCCCAGGTCCTGTGCCGGTTGGGAAGCCACGATGCAGCCCGGCAGTTTGTTTTGCACAGTTGCTGACATGGCACCAAGGGGCCCTTTTTGTGCCGTGAGGATGAGCGCACCAGACACGGTTCTGGGGTGACTGTGCCCCTCACAGGTGCCAACGCCTCTCACCCCCCGTGCCCCCCACCATGCCAACAGGTACAGTGGGCCTGTTTGGGGGGCCCGGCCCACGCAAGCCCTCTGGCTGTCTCAGGGGCTGGCAGAGCTGACCTTGCCCTCGGGACAGATGGGGACAGTCCTTTCTCCTCAGGAGCGGGTGGTACTGATGCCAGCCTCTCCCCAGAGATGGGGGCACACTCCTGCCCTCCCAGCCCTGGCCCCCAGGGCCTGCGTGGAGCTGGACCTGCCCAAGAACCCTCCGCAGCCAGCCTGGACTGGGCAGGAGGACGTGCACCTGCGGCGCTCTCGTCCACGAGACGAAGGAGCGGCAAACCGGGGACGCCACCTTTCACATGTAGGACTTAAGTCCGATCACTGCATGAACAGCAGTGAATTTTCTGGCAAAGAGATACTTTTGAAAGAGTTGGTTAAAAGCTTCACGCCTTAAATCATTTTAAACTGCATGCTCCCAATTATGAATCGTTTAGAGGAGTGCTACTCTGTGCTGTCAGGATGTCCTTGGGCGCTGCAGGGAGCAGGAAGTGACCTGTGTAACGCCCACACAGCGACCCTCCCTCCACTGCACTTGTCACGGTGCTGGCTAACACTCAGTTACCACGGCAACCAGACTTCCTAGCCCCAGGTGTCCCCTGCTGCTCAGATCTATGCAGGTGTCACCAGCTAGCCCCAAAACCAAAACTCATGGTAATGACCTCAGCTAGCTTTACTGGTTCTGGATAAAGAGGAAAATGCTTCCTGTCGACGGAAATTAGATCTAGCAACAGAGATTTCTTAGGATTAATATATTCCAAGTATTTAACATATATCAGGCTGAAGGGCACGATAATTACCATTTCTTTGGCTTTTGTTTCCTGTGCATGAAAATTAACCGAAGCTTAAGTAACTTGCTGGAATTCTGAAGACAGCCGGTCAGTGCTGCTCTGTGGCTGACAACAGGGGTGTCCTGGAGGGCCCCCTGGCCGTGGGGAGCTGGGAGTGCCGGCTCAGGCGCGTGGAGTAGCTGTGGACTCTGCTCCCGTCAACCCCGGGCAGCACATCTGCTCAGAGCACCCGTGTGGGCCTGGGCCCTGCGTGGAGGGCCTCCCGCCAGCACTGCAGCTGAGTTCCTGCCTGCGTGCACACGCAGCAGGGCCCCCTCCTCCCACCGGTTCTGGAGAACGACCTGGGTCACTTTCTACTGTCCTGGGTCTTCCACATGCTCAGTGAACACGGTTTCTGGGCCTCCCTGATGCTGCTGACGGGCACGGCCTTGTCACCTGAAGGAGCCCAGGGCCTGGCTGATGCGCAAGGCTCGCACATCCAGTTTGACCACACACACTCATCAGAAACAATGGGGAGGGTTGGCTCATCTGAAAAGTAGGCGGGAACGCGTCCAGGTCAGAGGTCAGGGTGGCCCTGCAGCCTCACCCCACACAGACATGGTCTCCACTGGGGGGTCACTGCGGGGGGCACGCCAGGCTTCCTCCTGCCTTTCCCACACACGTCAGGACCAGCTTCACCCCCCTTGGAAAGGGAATGGTTTCTGGCCCTCTGGTGGGGTGACGGGCACTCCTGAGTCTAGAAGCCAGGATGGCCACTGAGGCACAGCCCCCCCCGACCACAGAGACCTAACTCTGGGCAGCATGTTCTCTGCACGGGGACAGGCATCGGTCCCAGAATAGGGACCCAGTGGGCACGGTGGCAGCCGGCACCTCTCAGCAGTGGTGCCTGAAGAAGCCTAGGGCGGTGCTTTGCTGATGGGAGGGCCAGCCCCAGGCAGCACACGCCTCGATGCCTGCAGGGCATGTTTCCAGAAATGCTTTGTTGTTAGGAAGGATCAGTGTGCAGTGGAGGGAGGGTTTCAGCTCACATCGGTTTCCGATGTGTGTCATCACAGGAAAACACCCGAGAGGCCCACAGAGGCCCGCAGGGAAGGCCGAGCTACCCGGCGTCCGCTGGCTGCCTTACCTCCGCCTCCACCGCACCCTGGGCCTCCTGCCTTGGGTCTCTGTACCCAGTGCTCACACACCACCTTCTCAGGGAGGCCCTCCCAGGATGTAACATTTACAGGTGGGCCCGAGCCCATCCCAGCCTGACGTACCGAACAGCACACTCGCCACGCCACAGACAGCATATCTCGCTTCTTCCCCTTCTCTGTTCTCCTTCTCTCTTCACGCTGCGCCCAGAATGCAAGCTCCGCGAGCACACAGTGAGGCTCCATGTAAGTGTGTTCAAGGATACAAAGGAAAACATGCCCATAAGGCATAAAGAGATAGGGAAACTGGGCAGAGAAACAGAAGCATAAGAAAAGAACCAAGCAAATTCTAGAATTGGAAAGGAAAATACCTGAAATTAAAATTTTACTAGATTAACGTAATAGCAGTTGGGAGGACAGAGAACAAAAAGGTGGTGAACCTGAAAATAGCTCAACTGAAGTTATTCAATATGAATAACAGATTTTTTTTAATAACAGATTTTTAAAAAAGATTTATTTATTGTAGGAAGAGAGCACATATGAGTGGGTGGGGGCAAGGGGGCAGAGAAAATCTCAAGTTGACTCCACGCTGAGCACACAGCCTGATGCTAGATCCCAGGCCCTGAGATCACGACCTGAGCAGGAAGCAACAGTGGGACACTTAACTGACTGAGCCCCCCAGGCATCCCTAGAAACCCAGGTGCCCCTACTAATTTTTTTTTTTTAAAGACTGAATAACAAAAGAACAGACTCTCAGGAACTGGTGGGGCATCATCAAAAGGTCCTACATACATGTAACTGGAATCTTAGAAGGAGAGAAATGGGCAGAAAAAAAACCCTAAAATATATTGTCAAAAATGATCAAACTTGGTAAAAGACAAGTTCAAGAACCTTAGAGAATCATAAGATAGTATCCAAAAAAGGCCACAAAGAAGCCTAATACAAACTGTGATAACCCAAGGACAAAACCTCCCAAGCAGTTAGAGAAAAAGGCAGCCTGACATTTGGAGAAATGAGAGGACAAATGAGAGCTGACTTCTTGTCAGAAACGACAGAGGTGGGAAGCAGAGAACCCAACGCAGACTCTTCCACCTCATGCAACGATCTGTTCTGAGATCAGAACCAAGAGTCCGTAAGCTTTCAGAGAGGATGCTGACACAAAGATCTGAGGAGATCAAGCACCGGCAGTCCCAGCACAGGTGTGAAAGGAAGAAGCACTGACCCCGCCAGCAGGAGCAGCACAAGGGCGGAAGGTGGCTCGCCAGCACAGGCCGTGCTGCAAAGGAGCCGGGAACACAAGCCGTTTTCTTTTGGACATAAAGTGGTAAGAACGTGACGTCTGTGCCTTACGTTACTAACAACAGAGAGGTGGAAAGACCCATCACGTCGTTACAGAAGACGCTGCAGCCTCAGCGTGCAGAAGTCTCCCCGATAGTCACCACCGAAGACCTGCTTTCGTTTGACTTATTTTGATTTCATTTTTCAGACCTGCTGAGTCCTCCAGCTGTCGTTCACCATTCATGATGGCCCTTCAGCACGGGCCACTGGAATCAAGGATCCTGAGTATGGGACAAACAGGACACAGCTGTCTGCAGAGAGCTGCCAACTGAGCAGGACTTCCCTCCTGGTGGAGCCACAAAGTCCCGTAAATTCCTACCCAGGCTCAGTCTCGGAGCAGATGAGTCTCCTACCTTTGCATAAATGGGAATGATGGGGATTTGGATTGCATGGGTGCATGCATTTGTCAAACTCTAAAACTCTATACTTAAGACTGGAGCATCTCATTGTGCGTGGATTCCTTGTCGAGGGAGAAAAACCTGAGCACTCACTGAGCTCTAGTTAATGACCTGCATACTGAAGTTCACGGATATGTGACATTAACTTCAAAATGCGTCAAAATATATGATGGATCAATAGACGCATAGAGAGATGAAGAGATTAACTATATAAAGGAAAAGATCTAGTAAAATAAAAACTGTAGAAGCTATATGGTCCATATATGGGTTTTTACTATACAATCCTTTAAGTTTTTTTGGTATGCTTGAAATTTTTCACGATAACATGATTTAAAACATCCTATGTAACACTTATTCTTAGCCACTGTAAAAATAAGAAAAATTCTAAGACTTGACATAGAAAAAAATATGATTGCCTACACAGAACGTTAAAAAAAAATCTACAGAAAATGAGCTTAACTATTGAGTGGCACTGGCAGCAACTGCAAATGACATTAAAAGGAACCCTATAGGGTACGTGGGGACTAGGTGATTCTTCTGAAAGTTGACAAGGGAAAGGATAAAGTGTTCTATCCTGAGTTTTCCAGAGAAGCTGGATTTCGAGCAACCAAATAGTTGATGAAAGTTGCTTTGATTTAAAAAAAAAATCCCAGATAAATGCCAAGAGAGCGATAGCACAAGAGCATGTGCGCCAGGCAGGCCCGGGGTGGGGGGGTTGGGGGGGAGGTCCAGGCACACTCGCCACGGCAACTGGCCACCGCGGGCCCATCGGCTAACGGGTGTCGGGCTGGTAAGGGCTCAGCAATCCGCCGCCGTAGGAAGAGAGGAAAGACAGCCTGTGCTTTCGAGCCGCAGCAAGAGGCCCCAGCTCCCGTGACGCGTCCCCGCCAGCGGCGGGCAGGGGGCAGCGGGCAGCAGGCCGCGAGCTCCATGCAGGGCAGCCGTGCTCCCTGCCCTGCCACAAAACCCCGTCTGGGGACATGGTGGGGGGTCCTTAAGAGGCTACAGGACTGCATCCATCAAGCGTGTCCGGGGTCCCCGTGGGGACACAGTAGCTGTAGACACACGCAGACTTCTGAGGCGGCCGGCACCATGGGAACGCAGGCTAAGCGGCTGACGGTATCCCGCCGACGGCTCGGCCGGGCCGGCCGTACAGCGGTGGCGCTTCTGAGAAAGCCCCGTCTCCGGGCCCGAGCTGGAGCAGCCGGGCCTGGGGGCACCTGGCCCAGTACCGCAGCAGGGGAGGCAGTGCCCGTTAACGGGGGCGCTCTGAGGCCGTGAGTGCCCGAAAGTGTTCATAATCAGAAGTCAAAGAAAAATAAGCGAGAGACTCTCCCATCTGCAGGGACATCTGGAACTCACTGGCAGCATGTTCACAGATCCCAACAAACTGTGAAACGCACTGTCTTAAATTGCCATTTGTTCTAGAAACCAATCTTACAGTGAGTATGGGAAGGAGTCTTTTAAAAAGGTATTTAAAAGCTTTGTAAAGAAACCCGTTACACTTTATAGAGGGATGCACAAAAGTTTTTAAAAAGCCAGCAGAACGAACATGCATTTTCCAGAAGAACCACCCGGAGCTCAGAAAGCCACGGTCTCTGCGAGGACGGTGTGTGTAGCCAAACTATCCAGGTGTGACTCTAAAGAAGGTCCCCCCCCCCCAAAGTAGGAGATCCACTCTCTGAGTGATTAGCTTCCCCGAGGAGGCTGAGAACAGGAGGCGAAGCGGGGCTGAGGAACCATGCATACCCACGGAGGCCTGCTCATCCTGCGCACGCCAGGCCGCACGGCAGGGCCTGAGGGGGCAAGGGGAGTGGGCACGTGGGGTCCCGGAGCACGGCAGCCATGGTCTCCAGGACCGCGGGTTCTGTCCTGCTCCTAGACCACAGGGCCCATGTGGGTGCAGCAGAGCCCCCCTCGCCGTTGTCAGTGGGGGTTGACTGTAGTTGCTGACTTTGGCACCATCGGGGGGAAAAGGAAGAGAATTGTCACTTATGGATGCTGGGCCCAGAGTCCTGGATCCAGGCCTCGAAGCCAGGTGACCAAATGGTGGGGGCAAGGCTCCCCCGCGAGAGCTGCACGGTGGGGTGTGTTGTGAGAGGCCGCCCCGCAGGAACGGGCGCCGTGCCGAGGTGGGGCCTGCACATGAGTCAGCACAACCACATACATGCTCGGAATTTAGGAAGGGGCCAAGCTGTGGGGGGCCCAGAAGCCTCTGAGGCCTGGAGAGCCACTTGGCTTGGGGAGACTCACGGCTTCCTGTTTCCTGAATCCCCGCTTTCATCCTCGAGCCCTGGGCCTTTCCTGAGGCAGATCACGCGATGCCCACTCAGATGGAAGGAGGTCTCTGGGTCAGGAAACACGGAGTCAGGGACACAGCACAGCCTGAGGGCGGGCGGGGGACTCACCAGGCCCTGGGGAAGCGCCAAGTGCCACCCCGTGCCTGGCCCTGGGGGCACCCCCCCTCCAGTGGACGGCTTCTGGAGCCTGCGTGGAGGCGCCCACGGCACTAAGTCACACTGATGACATAGTTCTCGGTGGGCCCTGCTCTCCTCGGGCCCGCGGCCCAGCTGGGCTCCAGCGGTGGCTCCAGGGACCATCCCCCCCCTTAGCAGGCCCTCTCCGTAATGGCGCGCTGGGCCCTAGACTCCTGTTCTCTGGACCCTCAGCCGCCTGGGGTGGGAAGCTCTCCACACACCACCCGGGGTGGGGGGCCGAGGCAGACGGTGCCCAGTCCTGCCAGCAGCAACGTTGAGCATAGGTCAACCTCGGACCTGCCCAGACAAGAGACAGATCTAAGTCCATTCCGGGTCTCGACACCCTGCCCTCCTCCGGGCCCCTCACTCTTCCCCAAGCCCCAGCAGCCACCACAGCCACTCAGATCCCACCTGCAGCCATAAACACCTTGAAGCCCAGGCCCAGGAGACTTTCCAGCAAGCCAAGGGCACCAGGCTGGGAGAGGGCCCCACGACACCCCTCAGCCTCCCCTCTCCCTCCTGCCCTGTCTCCACCTGGACACTCCGAAGCCTGGTGGGACCATGATCTGTCTCCTCCTGCCCTGTGCCCGGCTCACATTTGTTCACCTTTGATCTAACACTGATTTCAAGTTACTAGACCCAATTTATTACAACTACTGTTACTAAAACAAATCCATTAATTCTTGAGAGCAAAAATGCTCAATGAAAATAAACTAGAACTAAGAAAAAAAGTGATCTGATCACTCAGAGCTAAATCTGACTCCTTGATCACATACTTCAAAATAATTTTGAAAGGTTTTCTTCAGAAGCAAAACTAAAGTTTAAAGTACACACAGTTTAAAGCACAATTTAATACATCTTCAGTGTATTTTTGCATCATTAAATCATACTGTTTAGTAATCCACAGAGATGTAACTTGAAGTAATTCTCCATGGCTGAACCTTTAAGTATATTTCCATTTTCTCCTGCCATAAACACCTGTGTGTTTGCACACTCCTCGTCCTGCTGTTCAAAACCATAAAGTGGGGCTGGCGACCAACAGGAGCACACACTTCAGAGATGTTGCGGCTGTGCTGTCCTCCGGGAGGCTGCGCGGTGTCCTGAGCTGCTGGTGGGGCCCGGCTGGCCGCCCTCCCAAGTCCCCCAGGCGGGGTGTGACAGTTCGCTGTTGGTGTGACCATGGGTCCCTAGGGGCGCTGGCCGAGTTGCCACGTGCTTACTAGCTACCCCAGACTGCTCACCGTTGACAGCGGCTTTGTAGTTTATTTTTAAAATGCCTCTACCGATGCTAACAGCCTTCTACCATCTAGGTTGTCTCCTGCGTTTGTGTGATCAGACCTAGGGCACACAGGGAATCTGTCCACGTGGTTATCCAGTAGATCCGTATGCAGGTACGTCATCCACGGAACGGAAAACGGCACAGATCTGGGACAAGTTACGTAGAATGCGTACCATACAGACACGAGTGTGTAAATGCATGTTTATCAACAGATTCATCTGTTAATGTTCATACTTGCCTTCCCCACACATCCTGCTTGGCTCTTTAAAGATTTGCATAGGCGAACATTTACTTTGTGCTGTAGACTTTTAAGTTTTTTTTTTATTTATTTTTATTTTTTTTTTTTACCTTTTAGAGCAGTCACAGGTTCACAGCACACTGACGAGCAGCGCAGGGTCCCAAGGCTGCTCACTCCAGGTGCCACGACACGGACACAGCTGTCGATGAGAGACGCGCCCGTCACAGGAGCATGCGGGCAGCCTCTCCCCGCCCCCGCCCCGCCAGCACCTGAGAGCGTGAGGCCTCCCAGGTTCACCAGGTCCTGTTAGCCGCTCACTGCTTCCCAGTGGTGTGTTGTGAGCATTCACACGTTGCCTGGCTCTGTGCACGGCGGGGCAGAGAAGCAGCGCCACCCCGTCAGCGACGAGCACACCCAGCACCCAGTCCACGGTGTCTGACCCTGTTCTCTGTGAGAAGGCACCAGGCCCCTGGGGGAAGAGCTGGATGCAGGCTGCAGAGGGGAAACCACAAGATGGGCCTGCAGCTCCCAGAGGGCTCGGATGTCACGGGGGCACAACACAGGTGCAGCAGCCAGCCTCAGGGGGCCCCCAGCCACGGCTGGGCAATGCACAAGGCCAGCCCTCACTGTGCCAGAGCCCGCTCTAGGAGAACTGAGTGAGGAGCCACAGTAACGTAAACAAGTATTTGATAAATAAATAGGGGACAAAGGACAGCTCTTCCCATTTGGGGAATTTCAACTCATAATGCCAGAAGGAATGAGGGAAACAGAAATCACCACCAGAACATTGCAGTAATCATGGCTGAAGAGAAGCCTCAAATCAGTGCTCAAATCTTTTTTTTAAAAGATTTTATTTATTTATTTATGAGAGACAGAGAGAGAGAGAAAGAGGGAGAAGCAGGCTCCATGCAGGGAGCCCAACGTGGGACTTGATCCCAGGACCCTAGGATCAGGCCCAGGCTGAAGGCGGCACTAAACCGCTGAGCCACTGGGGCTGCCCCAAATCTTTTTTTTTTTAAAGATTATATTTATTTATTCATGAGAGATACAAAAAGAGACACAGACACAGGCAGAAGGAGAAGCAGGCTCCCTGCGGGGAGTCCAACGTGGAACTCGATCCCAAGACCCCAGGGTCACACCCTGAGCCGAAGGCAGACATTCAACTGCTGAGCCACCCAGGAGTCCCACCGTGTGCAATCTTGAAGGAAAAAACAGGATAACTATGTAACATCAAAAAACCTCCTTCAATTTTTTAAAAAAGATTTTAATTATTTGAACGAGAGCAAAAGCTCACATGCACACAAGCAGGGGGAGCAGCAGAGGGAGCTGGAGCAGCCTACTCCCCGCTGAGCAGAGCGCCCAGCATGGGGCTTGACCCCGGGGCCCGGGGATCATGACCTCGGTTGAAGCATATGCATAACTGACTAAGCCACCCAGGTGTCCCTCCCTCAATTTTGAATAAGGACTATGTGGCTTTAATATAGATCTACAAATTGTTCGATACCCACCCTTGGGAACAGCGTGGGAACATAACCTGATGTGTAAGTAAAGGTGAGGACCGAGGAAGAAGCAGAGGGAGTGCACAAGCTACAGAGGAATCCCAGATGATGACCCAGGCGCATGCCGGGCCCAGTGACCCGACGGGAGGAGACACCTGCAGACGCACCTCACCGGGTGACCCGGGTTGGCATCACCCATGGAGTCGT